TTAGAAATTTATAAAAGATAGTTGTCTAAAAAACCAGATTTTTATTTTTATTTTTTTAAACTTAGTTTTCAAAATTCAGATATCTGTCAACAAGCCGGTAGTTGTCCAATTTTTTTATTTTTAGTTTTAAAAAAAAAAAATTGAACCAATAACACCAATAATTTTCAAATTGTTTTCATTTTTTAATGATGATGGTTTGAAAATGACGATATTTTTATCTATGCAACTACACCTATAGAAAACGAATAAGCTTGGATTTGATTCCTTTTTCTCCATAACTAAGCTGTTGAAAACAAATCACAAAACTATTGACAATTAGATATTTTTGCCCACTAGGACTAATCATTAGAGGTGTATTGTTGGAGTTCCAATTTGGTAAAATGAATTCATTTCTCATACTCTTCTTCTTTTTATTTTACTCTTCTTTTTTTTCTTTTTTTCTTTTTTTTTTTAATATAAAAATTTTCTGTACCATGTTATCGTGAAATAAATAAATCATTAGGGAGGTTAGACACAAAATAAAGCCAACTGAGATGCTACCAAAGTTTGAGACAATTTGAATAATTCTTCACAATTTACTAACTTAATTATTACAAGAGTGATATAAGTGGGCCCCAATGCAGTGGGACCCAACCTTAGATTTTCAGTTTCTGTTTTTTTTTTTTTGTTAAAGGCAACTAATATATTGCAAGATTAAGGTACTACAAAATACTCCTCCATTAAGTCAACACCCACACTCTTATGAATGCATAATTAAATTTAAAAATATATAAAACTTCTCTAATTTATCGTTGATCTAATTAATTATTCAATAACATCAATAAATTTAGGACACAATCAAAAAATTATTATAAATTATACATCTTTCATTCTTGAATGTCCTTTATCCTGGTTTCGATTAAAACGACTTTCTAATTATAATTACATTGACTTATGGCACCACCATTACCATGTAATTAATGGAAAAACCTTGTATTTAGCAAATGACCATGACCCATGTGGCCAAGCATTAAGAAACGGCTGTTGAATGTATTAGTTGACAGAGTAGTTTGTAACTTGTTACTAGGCTAGCTAGTTTTTACATGGTCGGCTACACTTTTCCTTAAATCTACCTAAAACTGGTTCATTGATTGGAGACAAATTAAGATGAAGAATTAATTAATTAATTAATTAATGACATACCACAGTAATGGCCATGAAAATGAGACGACATTTTAGTCTTCTCCTTGAAAAAATCAATACTATCCTAAAAAATATGAGATATATATATATATATATAATGGATGAAAGAAAAGAATTGAAAACGAGGGCAAAAATGACAGGGTCACCTTCTATCCAAAAAAAAAAAAAAAAAAAAACCCAAAAAAACTTGATATGGTCACCATAAATGAGCTCTGTTAATGACTTGCATTATAGATGATGTAACCTTTCTTCCAAAGACGTTGAATATTTTGGATAAGATCACTCAAATAATTAAGATAATACAGATGATGTATAGCCTACGCATTTCTTGTTAGCCAATTTTGACTTCTGTGAATTCAGCTTTAGTCAGTGCATGTACGTACTATATATTTATATATACATACATACATTATATATAGAGTATGTCGCAGCCTTATAGTATTATTTTCTGAATGGGGAATAAATATTAGGTGCATTGTGACTTATTCAATTCATATGTATTATGTATGTGTATGTGCAAAAACGTATTATGCATATACGATTTAAATAAATTCAGAGTACGATATTACGAACACACCCAGTATCTTTTTTTAAATGAAAGCTTAGGGTTCAGACCACCTATAAAAGCATAAGTACCATTGGCCATTGTTGAAAAGTGAAAAACATAATATTCAGTGTGTGTACTTTATAAATGTATTATGTATTTGTGTGTGTATATATATAAATATATGTCACAGCCTTATTTCCAGAATGGACCTCAGACCACCGCTAGGGACAAGTCACACAACTCCCTAGTCCCATGGGCCATTGTTGAGAGCATAATATTCAATCAATGTGGTTCATCTATTAAATATAACAATGACGTAGAGATAATAATAATAAAAAAGCTTCATTAAACCAGGAAATTAATTATATTACAATTATATTTATCAAACTTACCAACCATTGCTATGCCTGAAGCCTAGTTACTCTCACAAAAGCTACAAAGATCACCTCTCAATCAGTCTAAGAGATTGTGTTTTTATGAACATATTGAACTTAGGGACGAAGCTACATTCAAGTCAATGGGGATAATTTTTTTTAATAATATGCTCTTATAATTTGTTCATTTTCAGTAATATACTTACGAAATATTACATTTGCTTCCCTTAAAATTATTATAAAAAAATACACTATTGCCCCTCCAAAATTCATTTTTGCCCCACTTAATTTATATCCTGATTTCGTCTCTCGCTTAACTGATCGAATTGATAATTAGTAATGATACTGGGAATTGTAACGATTCAAATTACGTAATTTATTCAATACTATGATCAAATTCAAAGTATTCTTCAATTTTTAAGTCATGCCTCCTTATCATTAATATCTGGTTGGATGGGATAGGATACGAAACAAGAGATCGAGATGCAAAGAGTGACTATAGGCACACATTTCATTGGGACAAGAAACTGTGTTAGACAAAGATGTTTAGCAATATCATCACTAACTAACACTTTTGAAATATTGTATAAAATCAAATACTAAATTGATATTTATTTGAAAAGGAACAGCTTATATATATATATATATAATAATATGGAAGTACAAGAACTATTATTATTTTTATTTAATATAAAAAAGGTTAGCCCAAGAAAATCAAATGAACATAGTTTTACTTTGGCTTATAGAGTTTCCTTGATAAATGAGTTTAAAATTAAATATTGTGTTATCAAGATAATACAATCATATTAAAATCCAAATAAATTGTCTTTAATATTTGCATTAGTTATATATATATATATTTGTTACAAACTAAATTAGGTTGGCCGACTCAGTTCAAAGGAGTGGTTAGGAGGAGTTAGAGGATATATCATTATCCATAGTTTGTATTTTGGTTAAATTAATTAGGTTATATCATTTTCCAGAGTTGGAAGTTGGAAGCAGCATTGCTTGCATTAAACGAATTCTGCATTTAAGTAGACACCTCTCCGATGGGTTTAGCCTTCAGGTAGATTTTTAAAGCCAAAATGGAAAACCCGAATTTCCATTTCGCTCTGCCCCTATATATTTATATATGTGTGTGTGTGTGTGTGAGCATGTTTGTGGTGTATATATATATAATTTTTTGTCATAAGTACGTTTCTTTCAAATTAATATATTTTCAGCATAAAAATAATAAATAATCAATCATATAAGTTATCTTACATTCTTACCCATATTTAATTATTGTACTTTATAAAAACCAACTTAAAATATTTTAGAATAAAATAAGACAAGCTGGTTCATGATAACACTCTTTTTTCTTTTTCTTTTTCTTTGTTTTCAATAAAATAATACAAGCTGGTGATATCACACTTTTTTTTTATTTTTCTTTTGATAAGTTTGGTTAAAGATTTCACATATTTAAAATGGGAAAATAAAAATTTTGCCACAAGTCTGGTTTTATTATACTGAATCTTCCCAACTCCTTAATATTACTACCGACTTCTCTTAGTATACTTAGGGTGCGTTTGGATAAATAGGAGAGAAAAGAAAAGAAAGGATAGTATTAGTTAGGAGAGAGAAAAGAAAAGAAAAGAAAGGATAATAATAATTTCTATTTGTGTTTGGATAGATAGGAGAGAAAAAAAGAAAAGAAATGATAGTTATTCTTATTTGGATAAGATATAGGAAAGAAAAGAAATGAAATGAAATGATAGTAACCAAATTTCTGTCTTACACATCACCCTAAGAAACTACCAAATGGTGCAATATTAACATTTTTTTTTCTAGCCAGACATCCTCGTTAAGAATGCATAATATGCTTATGCAAAAGGAAAATTTTTGCAATTCATTCGATAACAGTTTTTTTAGTTGTCACTTACCAGTGATGAAATTCTATCATCCAGGAATCAGTTAACCATCAGGCCAATGCTGTTTCGCTAGTCAACCCTACCTTGAGAATTTCTGGGAGGTGTTTAGTGGTTAACTGAACCTAAAAATTGGCAAATGAACACTATATATATATATATATGTGAAGAATGGTCTGAATATTAATATACGTTTTGCTGTTTATTTCACCTCTTCCACATTTCCCATCCTATGTACGGCTAATGGAGTACACTTTTGAGACAAAATTATGAATTCTTAAAACTACATAAATGGTGTTGAACAACAGAGAGTGATAGAAATGAGGGTACAGTTAAAGGTACATAAATGGAATTACATATCAGTAGGTTAATTTTTATAGGATATTTTTGGTATTAGCAATATATAACTTATTCCACTATTCTTTCTCTCCTTATCTTCTCAAATTGACAGAGAAAGCCAACAAGCCATAGGAAAGGATATCCCTCCCTTTCTCTCCCTATCCCTCCCTATTTCTCCACTTAACCTACCCAAATAGACCCTCACATTATCCTCTCTTTTTTTTTTTCTCTTCCTATTCCTCCAAATCAACCCTACCAAACACACCCTTAAACCTAAATTTTTTACTTGAAAATACAAATAACATACATTATTAACTTGAATTTAAGTGAAATTGAACTTTGAACTTTAAATTAAAAGAAGTGAAATTACACACTGTCTTGGCGGAAACATGAAGTTCGCAAAATCAGTCGTGGTTAATCAAATATGACTGATGTTCTGCGAATACAATTTTTTGTTTTTTTGAAGTAATGGATCAATTTCCAAGTAAATGGTGTTGTAGTCTCAAACTGGTCAAAATACAACAAGTGGATATAATATATATATATATATATATACGCGCGAGAATCTGTTCTCATAGATGCATAAATATACAGGGTATACACACACGCGGACATTTATATATTCACACATTGAACCTTCCACGATACTAATATATACACAGAGTACGCGATATTACAGTACATGCCACTCTTGACTATGAATTGCACAAAGCCCCCTATAAAACACCTTCCAAAGACCTCTCCCTCTGTCACTACCCACTCACCCACCTCGCATAGCTCAAAGTGCTTTGAGATAGAAAAAAAGACCGCCAAACTCAGTAACCAAAAAAAAAAAGAAGAAAAGCAGAGCAAGAGAAATTAATGGCTTCTACCGTTGATCAAGGCAGAGACACTTCGATCTCCGCCGTCCATTTCGACATCCTTCAAACCCATATCTTGACCAGACTCGACGGCCCGACTCTGGCCTCCACCGGCTGCGCATCGTCCACGCTGCACGCGCTCTCCACCGAACAGAAACTCTGGACGGACATCTGCAACCAGACGTGGCCTTCCACCAACGACCCACTTGTCCACCGCCTCATCTCTACCTTCCCCGCCGGTCACCGCTCCTTCTTCTCCGACTCCTTCCCCACCCTCGACCACCGCCGTTCATCACAGCCAAATACCGAACATCCGGTACCCACATCCCAACTCATCTCAGCCGTTGATATTCATTACCAGGACAAGCTCATATTCTCGAAGCTGCAGGAGAGCGAGACCCTGAGCGGGTGGTTCATGTGCTCGCCGTTCCGGTTCGACCTGCTCGACCCGAAAGAGTCGGTGCCGACTCCGGTGAAACTCGAAGGCGGAGAGGACACGTGCCGGTCGAACATGGAGAAAAACTTGACTATCAGCTGGGTCGTAATCGACCCGACCCGAAAACGGGCGGCAAATGTTTCGAGCTTGAGGCCTGTTTCGGTGCAACGGCACTGGCTGACGGGTGATATAGAGGCGCGGTACGCGACGATCATGGCCGCAGATCGGAGTTGCACGTCGTCGGAGTTTGTGCAGTGCGCGATAGTGGTCACGTGCGGAGGGAAGGAGGGAGGGGAATTGCACGTGAAGGAGGTGAGCCTGACAGTGGAGGACATGGATGGGAAAACACTGAGTGGGAAGGAGTGTTTGGTAATTTTGCAGGAGGCCATGGGAAATGGGAGAAGAAAGAAGGGAAAGGGATGGGAAGGGAAAGAGAGGTATGAGAAGTACTTGGAGTTGAAGAGAGAGAGAAGGGAGAGAAAGCAGAGGAGAGAGAAGACATTGGACATGGTGTGCATAGCCACTGGGGTCACCATTTTCCTAGCTTTCTGGGCACTAATTCTCTTTAGATGAGAAAATACAGTTAGTTTTTTAGTTTCTATAATTTAATTATTACATTCATATATATATATTATCTATAAATCGTTTCATAGATTGAGAGTATGAAGGAAAAGATGGATGTTTATAATTAAATAGAGGAAGGTGAGATTTACAATGTAATAATTGAGAGTGTAATTAATTAATTACCACATTATTTACTAATCTTGATTTAATGAAATTATTGTTCATGCCCATCTTAATGCTCAATCTTGACTTTTCAGTAGCAATTGGTATGCATGTATGCTTCAACGTTCTAACTTCCGAAAGTCTCAATCGCATAGAAGATAACTTTCTATGCCACCTTTATGGACTTTGATTTTTTTTTTTTTTTAAGGTATAAATTTGATGTTTATTGCATTCTATGTGATGCAAACATTTCTTAAAAAAAAAAAAAAAAAAAAATGTAATGCAAACATAAAATCTTTTCCTTTTTTTCTTTTGATCCATAAGCTCATATGATTGACTTAATTTTGTGTACAATCTTGTGTAAGCGACTAAATAAGTCGGTTTTGGGCTAAATTTCAACTAACTAATTTGGCTCTTTCAACTAATTCTTTGTTTAGTTAAAAATAAATAAATAAATAACTAATTCTTTGTTTTTGTTTTTTTATTATCAAATCCTGTCCGGCCATAAAAGTAACCTATAGAAACATACAAATGCACAAGCAGACGTGCACCTTCTGGGGCCTTATTCAAAAAGCCATTATAGGGAATATTATCATTCACACACATATAACATGTGTGTATATACATGAGAATTTGGACTCATTTGCTAAGTCAGACGGAGGGAGAGTGTCACACCCCAACCCAATTTATACTATTTAATAAATTGAATAAATTGAAATGTATCTAACCATTTACATTAACCTCATTTAACATGACATCATCATACATCAGAGTACCTACTTAACAGTTTACAATTGAAAACAAAGTATAGGCCTGTTATGCAAATTCTGACAAACTAAAACGTTAACAACAAGTTACACTATTAAAATTCTACTACAATATTTACATCTTAAACAACAGACGTTCCATTGTTCTTTTTCCCATTCCCACACAAAATTCTAGACCTGGCAGTAGCGACCCCACCTTGTACCTAAAAATATAAATATGAAGGAGTGAGCTTAAAGCCCAGTGAATGCAACACTACTACATCAGAATAATATAAACAATTATTATTTGATAACTTCAATTAAACTTCATTAACATATTACAGACATTAAAATATAGTACTTTCCTTCTTGGCTAGGGTATGGACCTTATTTAAATATAGTACTCTCTTTTTTTGCCAGAGTATGGACCTTATTTAATGTAGTATTCTCCTTCTAGGTCAGAGTATGGACCTTTTGTAATATATTACTCTCCTTCCAGGTCAGAGTATGGACCTTATATAATATATATAAGCAATTCCACATCAAATAAATATCTTCGATACTTCAACATACTCATCCAAGTATAAATTTCTAGTGAGTACACTCACCTTGATTACTTTTCAAATTATTTAATTGTCCTTCCGTATGGTTGTACCTTCCATCTCCTTCTCCTTGCCTATACAATATTATAATCAAGTTATATTTATTTCTTAAAGAGAATTAAATCACAATCATCACCTCAATTAAAATTCTCAAACTTTATACACACTTTTGGCTAAATTCTAATCACATACCTTCATATAAATTTCCAGCTTGAAAACTCCAAAGAAATAACCATAACCATGGTATCACTTTACACAAAACAGCCTTTGAATAAATTAAAAAAAATATAAAATAGATGATATACAAACTAGAACAGGTAATTGTATAACCTATTACTACAAGTTAAGTAATAAACTTAATTTCAACATAGAATAAAAATATAAAACCCCTCACCTGTATTTGAGTTCAACAACAATTTAGTGAGAAAAATCCTTTTCTTTTCTATTCCCTTTCTTCTTATTTTTGTTCTCTCTTCCGACTCTGACTGTATTGCACTGTTTGTGGTATATTTTGTTGTGTTTCCAACAAAACAATAGTGTTTTCGAAGGCGGTTCCAACAAGCTGTAAAGGTAACTTTAATCTTATACATATCGAAATATATTTTCTACACAAATACGTGTCTATGTTCGGTCCATTCTTGTGCTGCCAGCCACTTGACACTCATCCTCATCCATTAGCATAATAATTGCAATTATATCTAATATATACCAGCAACTATGTATTGCAGCCACCACCTCAAGAGTTTTATTAAAGCACAGAACTTTTAGTCTCGGAGAGCGTACATGTAATCACATGAGTTGTAAAAATCTAGTCTCCTGAAAATGGAGATTATCAATTAACTTGTGTGTGCCATGTGTCACCCCAACTTATTACCACTTCATTCTTTACATGCATATATAATTATATACATATGTTCTTAACAGTATACTACCTCTAAAGCTTCGGGAGAAAGCTTTAATCATCAAAATAATATAATAACACATATACTGTACATTACCTCCTCATAAACACACATCCAATTACCTTAGGTACACACACACTGCATTACTTAATAAAATGCGTGTCACATAGTCCTCATTTCTTTTCTTTCATTTAAAATTTTAAATCAATTAAATAAGTAAATTTAAGCTCAAATAACCATTAAATCAATTCACAATAATAACTAAAGGACTAAAAAAAATTCGGGATATGACAGAGAGTGAATTCGAAAGTATGAGTATGAGAATTTAACTGCAAGTACGTGCAAAATGTGAGAGCAAAAATAGGCTCGAAGCGTGAAAGTGATATCCAAATAATATAACTTAACTCATTTCAACACATGCTATACATATATAGATACACACATAGAATTATTTTTATTATTTATTATTATTATTTTTTGTCTCCTGATACATAGAAAGGAAGATTACAAATATATATATATATATATATATATATATGGTTGGGGCAGGCGTTGACTCTTTTAAATTTGTAATGTACACACTTATTTGAAGGAGAAGTTGGAAAAAGCCGGCTGGGACGGTCTGGTCAACAAATTTGGCTTTAAATTTATTGACCTGGCCTCACTTGCATGAGCTGTTTCAAAGTTGCTTTTAATTGTCCTAATATTACTACTACTAGTAATATGTTATGACTCTCTACAGGGAATATTATGCTATAGCCAATCACAAAGTGCCACGTTAAGCACCATATCGGGGTTTTAAGACACACTGATCTACCAAATAGTTGGATATAAGCCTCGGAGGTCATATTAGACATTCAGACCGGTATTTGAGTCTAATAGAATCTAAACTAGATCAATTAATACTAGATACGAAGAGATTTATACTAATTTAAAACAGTCAAATGGTTCGAAAAGTCATGCATAAGACCATTTTAAATTATATAGCGACCATGTGTATATAATTAAATGTTTATTAATTGAAATAACTTGAAAATCAAATGATCTTGTTGGTAAATCATATTAATTTATATATATTATAATGTGGGTTCTTGTACAATAGTGTGGTAGGAGTAAATGTTTATTGAGACAACTTGCATTTTTCTTTACAATTAAACATGTCTCACCCTCAATGATTTGGTAGCATAATATAATTCTTATGATCAACGTGAAGTTAATGGCATTGGGTCAGATAATTATTCAATGTCTAATAATGAGATTCCTTTATTAGGTATGCTGCTCTCACCAGACAAAAATGTTGAGTAATTTCATGCCATTTCCAATATTGTTTATTTTAGGATATTTATGAATTCGCAATGCAATGCCCGACTACTCACAGTCACGGGGACCTGCATGCGATTATTGTGGGGCCCACACATATTTTGTGAGTAATCGGAAAAAAATCGGACTGTTGGTTAGATATAACAGATTTTTTGTCAAATATGTAATGATACTGATTGTAATTTGAAGGGTTTGATTTTTAGAATAAATATTCATTGTGCCGGGTGCATAGGGCATCGGTTCATTCGAGTCGTCGTATGTGCACAGCATGTGCCTATGCGTGCACAACACATATGATTCCGATGAGCTTGGTGCACGAGTGCACCAAATACCTTCCCTTAATTTTTATGCGAGAAAATAAATTGTTAGACTTGCTACCGGTTGCAATTAAGCTAGCTCGGAATTTTCTCTTCTCTCTCTCTCTCACATTTTTGTTACTTCCATTTTTTTTTTCTTTTTTTTATTTTTATTAAGGCTGAATGTGTTATTATGGTGCATTTGGAAATGTAATTCCTACTTTTATTAATTTATCAACTGATTTCAGGATTGGGTTCAAGGATTTTGGGGTTGAAAAGTGGGAGCTCATGATTGTTGATTCTCCTCTTTATAAGAAAAACGTTCTCCAAATTATGAGTGATAGCAATTACAATTGACTAATTCTCCAAATTCTGAGTGAAAGCAATCACAATTGACTAATTTTTCAGGTACTTTGAGAAAAACGTACAATCTGAGTTGAACAGGATATGGCTTGTTGGCCAAGTTTAGGATGACTAAATTCATGGATTAATATGGAACAAGGATGTATGGATATGGACATAGAATATAGGTATATAATACAATATGAATAAAGCGATATGATAAATAAATAAATAAATACTCCGTAAATAAAAGAAACCGATAAGTCATCACAACTGAAAGCACTAATTTTATAAATTTTTTCTATTAATTCATAATATATTTTAAAATGCATAGAATTCTGATCTTTTAACAAAAAAATTGCAAAACCACCCCATGTCATGATAGTGTCCTTAGTGTCCCAATCGTGTCCAACCAAAAAAATAAAATATTTAAATTTTATGAAACTGCGTCCTAAGTATAAAACTGATTAACATTTCAAGTTATAACTTGATTATGACAATGGCACTGCAATTAATGAATGGTAGACTAACGTCCTCAGGGGCATAGCGGCATTGACAGAAATTCGAGAGGTAAGTTTTTGAACTCTCGTTTTTGAACCATACTCCCGACTTGAATGATGTTGTGTATCGTGATACTAATGACTAACAAGCGGATGGAACGGTGGTGTTGGATTAGATCAAGTGTATGTGGGCTAGACTTGAAGATTGAATCTAAACCCCAAAGCCCATTTATTGTATTGGGTTTCTAGTTGCCAATCGGTTGCAGTACCATTAGCAGACTATCTCACATAAATGAGTATGGAAAATGAAGAGAAGTCTATCAAACAAATATGATGTTGATTCATTCTTTGCACCCAAATATAACCAATAGCTATGATTGGAGTCACTTTAACCGTTTTAGAGGAGGTCTGGAGTTCCCTAATCATCATACTATGATATAAAGGTCCCGAGTTCAAAATCGAAAACATCTCTACATGCAGAAGTAATGTTATGCGACAGTGAGAGTCTCGCCAAATTAACCTGATTGTCACATTGATTGCAAATGGTTCTAATTTTTATGTTATCAAGTGTGTATACATCAAGATATTTCTGATTCAGACCAATTGATGAAGCTGTTTGTGCCAAAAATAAATGTGGCTACAAGAGCTGGGCTTGTAAACATTTTTAGTGGGCCCTTTACCCATTACTTAAATTTGTTGAAGCATATCCGAAGCAAATACAATTTTATCCATAGAAGTCCACGTGGCATGAAACCATTGAAGAACAACCCATCCACGCAATCTATGAGTCACACAATCCCACCAATCATCGCCATATGCTCCAAAAATCCAATGCAACAAACTCAAACCACCACCAAGAAATTGAATTGCCAATATTTTCTCAGCAACCAATCACTCTTAAGTCTAAGCTTTGGCTCAAACCACCTAGAAATCGAAAATGGCAACAAGCTTTGCTACCACATCAACCATTGTAGGCTTGGGCACTTCCTCCCTCTCATCCCCTTCTCGCGTCTCCTCAACAAAGCCAACAGGCCTCACTTCAGGTACTACCACATCAACATTACCATATATATATATATATATATATGTAGAATAATTTAATAATGAAGTTGTTCTCTCTCTGTAAATTGTCTAATTACAGGCTTTCTGAAATCTCCGTTAACCGCGAGAAACCCTCTAAAACAAGCTCAAGCTTCAGGAGGAAAATTTACGTGGTAATTATATATACAGTTATACACATACCAATCTTAGCATTTAATCATGATGGTGGATGGGCCTCATTTCCTATTTTTTGTTTTGGTTGTGAAGTGGAAACTTTCAAAGCGATTGGCTAAGGAGAGATCTGAATGTGATCGGGTTCGGGTTAATCGGGTGGCTTGCCCCATCAAGCATACCGGCAATTAACGGCAACAGTTTGACTGGTCTCTTCTTTCAGAGCATTGGAGAGGAGCTCTCACACTTCCCCACCGGTCCTGCACTCACTTCTCCGTTTTGGTGAGTACATTTAGCCAAACATATATAAATATACATATATATATATAAACACACACAATCACCACAATAGTATATATATATTGTTAGCCCCTTATTTGGAGAGCAAGTGCCATTACAATGGGTTAATTGACGATGATTGTTTGAAAAAAAAAATTGACAATGATTGGGCTTAATTAATTTTATTAATGTGCGCATCTCTGGCCTGTTAGGCCCACACAGTTTTGCATGTAATATAATGGATTGTAGTAAATTGGGCCATTGCGACCCAGACTCATAAAGCCCGCCCATTTGTCTGTTTAATTAGTTTTTGTTTTTTTGGCACTCAGTGTGCTTAATGCTTCAAATATATTATATAAACACGCATGAATCGCATGATAGGCCAATGCTATTTAGAACGGAAATTCAAACCAATAATGTCAGTCAAAAATACATTCTGAATTAGACTCTTAGGTTTAAGAATCATTTTTCAAGTAATTTGGCCCGACAAGTTTCAACTTATAAGTAACTCTACCATGTAGATGCATGTTCCCTGTAGTGTGATGCCCATGATCACTTGCAAATTACAGATTAACGCCAAGGAGATCAATGCATATGATAGTTAGAAGTTAGAATAATAATTTTCATTGCGAAAAAAACCAACACCGCTTGTGTGACAGTAAGTGTGAGGTTCGCCACTATCGGTCCACACATAATCAGCCATTCCTTATCCGAATAATATAATTTTTCATCACAGTTTTTTTACTTACTACTCCCTCTGTCTCAGTAAGAATTTTTAAGGGAATATGTAGGACATGTCTTGTTTTTTTGAAAAGTTATTAATTTGTCGTTCTAAGTTTTGAATATTTAAGTTTGAAATTTTAAACTTTAAAGATATATATAGAAATATGTAAAATATATTGATCGAAAAAAGAAAGTGACAAGTATTTTGGGACAAAAAAAAAAAAAAAAAAGCATAACATTTTTTTTTTTTTTGGACAGAGAGTATTTTTTTTGGCCATATTCAAAATTTGAGGCAACTCCATTTAGGTGGGAATTCAAATTCATATTGGGAATCCCCAATTTGGGAAATTTGAGCTTACACTTTAAACATGGAATAATCATCTATAGTTCTTGATTTTTGGGTGCAATCATTTGACAATGCTCTTGATCCAAAGCATATTTCACTTGCCATAGTGTATCATATTTAACGTACGTATACTGTATACTCTCTCTCTATATATAGACTCATATATGTCCCAATAACTAGATTACTCACATGAATATGTGTAGTGGCATCTCACAATGAGACTCACATATACCCTATTAATAGTTGGTAACTTGGTAGTGTCCTCTTACCACGAAATGAAATTTTCATATCTATATATATATATATATTTCCTTTAAGTGGGTGACTTGGATATGTGGATGTACAGGTTGTGGCTGGTTACATGGCACGTGGGGCTATTCCTCTGCCTTACTTTTGGGCAAATTGGGTTCAAGGGAAGGACTGAGGAGTACTTCTAAGACAAAAGACAGTATACTCTCTCTTTATCTTTTTATCCATGTATCATAAAACACTTTGTTTTCAGTTTCAATTCTCAGCTTTGTTTCTTTTCTCATCCCTGTTACAAAGAAAAACTGTCTTCTTATGACTTCCTTTGTTCTCTAATATTGTATCTCATCTTCTGCATTTGTGTCCATATTGCTAATCTTTACCTCAAAAACAAACTGTGCTTATGTTTCTTTTCACTTGATGAAGAAAAAGAAATAACATATTTTCCCAACCAAAAAAAAAAAAACTAAAAAAAAAAAGTACAAGAAATATTCTTTCTACTTTTGCTAAAGAAATCAAATTTGACTGATATTGTTGGAACTATAAAATCATTCATGTAAGAAATTTTTTTTTTATTTTATTTTATCACAAATTGTTGATATTCCTGTAATGGAATGTGAATAATTCTAAATATATAGTATTTATTGAACAATTTTCTAAGTTGAGTAGTGTTATTATTAGGGGTGGCAAATGGGCGGGTTGGGCTGGGTTTGTGGTGGGCTAAAAATGGGCGGATCAAATATGGGTCAAGATCCATATTCAATCCGCTCAGAATGGGTTAAAAATGGACGGGTCAAAATTGTATAGGGTCAACTCGTTATGACCAGTGGATCTATTAATTATTATTATTATTTAATTATTTTTTAAAAATTATATTTTAAAAATGTATAGGGTCAACCCGTTAAGACCCATATTGATGTTTTAAAAAAAAAATTTGACCTGTGAAATCCGACCGACCTGTCCAAAATATTGATGTTTAAAAAATAAAATTTTCTTAAAAATTTTGATGTTTACAAACATGGAAAAGGAAAATGGAATTTGTATATTTGTAATAAAAAAAAAAAAAAAATGACATGTGAAACCCGCACGACCTGCCCAAAATATTGATGTTTTCAAAATAAATTTTTCTTAAAAATTTTGATGTTTACAAATATGGAAAAAGAAATTGTATTTTGCATATTTGAAAAAAAACAATAATAAAAAATAAAAAATTGACCCGTGAAACCCGATCGACTTGCCCAAAATATTGATGTTTAAAAAATAAAATTTTCTTAAAAATTTTGATATTTACAAACATGGAAAAGGAAAATATAATTTGTATATTTGTAAAAAAAAAAAATTAACTCGTGAAACCCGACCGACCTGTCCCAAATATTGATGTTTAAAAAAAAAAAAAGAAATTTTAAATTTTAATGTTTACAAACATGAAAAAAGAAAATGTAATTTGCATATTTGTAGTAAAAAAAAAGGACCCTTGAAACCCGACCGACCTGCCCAAAATATTGAAGTTTAAAAAATAATTTTTTCTTAAAAATTTGATATTTACAAACATGGAAAAGAAAAATGTAATGTGTATTAAAAAAAAAAAAAAAAAAAATTTGACTTGTGAAACCCACACAACCCGCCCAAAATATTGATGTTTCAAAAATAAATTTTTCTTAATAATTTTGATCTTTATAAACATGGAAAAGGAAAATGTAATTTACATATTTGAAAAAATATATATAAATTTGACTCGTGAAACCTGACCAACCCGTCCAAAATATTAAAGTTTAAAAAATAAAATTTTCTTAAAAAATTTGATGTTTATAAACATGGAAAAGGAAAATGTAATATGTGTTAAAAATAATAATAATAATAATTTGACTCGCACAATCCACCCAAAATATTGATGTTTTAAAAATAAAATTTTCTTAAAAATTTCGATGTTTACAAACATGAAAAAAGGAAAATGTAATTTGCATATTTGGGGGAATTTTTTTTTTTTGACTCGTAAAACCCGACCGACCCGTCCAAAATATTGATATTTTAAAAAATATATATTTGAAAAAAAAATAAAAAAAATTGACCCTTGAGACTTGCCCAAAATATTCGGACTGGGTTATGGACATAACTCGTTTTGGGTAGAATTCAGGTTGGCCCAACCAAACCCGATTTCGGGTTGAGGTTGGGTTGGGCTAGCCCAACTTGCAGTCTTCATGAGAGAGAGAATTTTAGAGAGAGAGAATTTTAGAGAGAGAGAAATGAGTTGAGTGCCATATAGAATAGATGTGTGTTGTGTGTTTATTATGTGATGGGTGAAATGTGGGTTGAATAACCATATTCAACCTATCTTGACTCTCAAATTAAGTGATATTCAACGCATCTTGATCCTCAAATTAAGTGGTTAAAAATTACCTAACCTATTTTTGATCCATCTTAAATATAATTCACCCATAACTATTAAAAAGCGAGTAAATATGAACGGGTTAATGGGTTATGACCCATTTTGACACCCCTAGTTATTATTACTTGGTCCAACTAAAATTGAGATGGAGCATGGATAATACAAGCTGCGATTAATCCTTATAAATTTGTAATATTAGGTTTGAAGAGAGGTACAAAATTAATAATCCAAAATTCATGGACCATTGTGCTAAGCTTTTTTATTATTATTATTTTTATTTTTTATGCATAAATAAAGTGTAATAGAAAGTACAATTTGTTGCGGGAAAAAAAGAAAAAGAAAAATCAGCTTACCTTCTTTAGAAATTGTGGTAAGTGTTTTTTTTATGTATAAATAATTTTTTTTTTATTTTGTTTCCTTCTTTAGAAATCAGCGTACCTTGTTGCAAACTGTCACAATAATATCGACCATAGGGACCACAATTGTGTTATCACAATGTTATGGTTGAGATTGCATAATCGTGACAGTGGTCGACTGTGCTTAACTTTTACATATTGATAATCGTGAAAGCAAAATAACTTATACGACAGTTGAATACCAATTTTTTAAAGAATTTATTTAAAGTGAGATGACAACATAACTTTGTATACCAGCACACACAAAATTCTGACCATTACGGGCAATCGGATGTCTACAGTTTAAATCACATTCATTTTCAACTCGTGACTTCTATTTTCACCATATAACAACTCAATATTGTGTCAACACCGCGCCCTCTTGTAAGAAAAAAAGTAATGGAGACGATTAATCCATTAAATAAGTATACAAATGTAATGTGTTTTTTAATTGAGTCAAAAAAAAAAAAAAAAAAAAAAAAAAATTTACTAGTATTAGTACACTCAAAAAAAATATTATTCTATTCCATTGACAGTTTTTGAATTCATCCTTACTCCGGTACAAGACTCTGACCTAAACTCTCCGGTGCATCTTAATGAAATGTTGTTTCAGTTTAATTCAAGAGCACTATTTTAAAGTGTTAAAGTTAACCATGGTACTTTTTTTCCCCCTCAATTCTCTCACTAGTTGAACTAAATGTGTTTTATAACTTTTAATTCTTGCTACTTCAAATTAAGACTTGTGTAAATTTGAAGAGTTATTTCGAATTAAGATTTGTATAAGTTTGAATTATAAATAAATGGAAATTGCTAGTGATAGGACAACAGACTCGCTAACGTGTTAACAGTCCATTGGTTACATACCTGAACTAAACGCGATTTAAAGGCAACATCTTAATTTGGAAATTAGTGAAACTAAAATGGTTAGATTTGCACTAAACATTCATAATACCATGTCATTAACTAATTATATACTCCATTATTAGTACATAAATAAAATTGAATTTACTTCAAACTAGTTGAAGAATTAAAGTACAGAGTGATGGATGATGAGAGTATGTGGAAGTGGGTGGAGGTGGGCCGTGGGCCCAATTCATGTTGATGTTTTGGTGGTTTAATGGAATTTTGTGAATCCAGAATACAGCGATGAAATCCAAAGGAATCGGAAACACATAGCCGTTAGTGGGGCCCAACCTCGTGGCCTCAAACTTCTTGTCTATATATGTTCCACCCTATTGATTGATTTGGATGGGTGTAGTGGAGCTATTGGACGGTCTGCAATAATTTATAACCCCCATGTTACCTCTGGATCTCTCCCTTTAAGGATTATTTGCATGAAAACTCCTACTCTTTTGTATATTTAGTTACATAGCCATCGTGGAGGGAGATTTCTAGAAACTCTGGGTCACTTATGCTGTATTGAAACATTTGAGTTGCCCATGTGCCTAGATATTTAGGGTTAAAAAAAAAAAAAAACTTGAAATATTGCCTTTTTGCAAAGATAATCTTCGAACTCAAAATTGTCCTGAATTATTGATTTGTTGCAATTACGAATAAACTCATCACAAAATATTATTTTATTCTTTCTCATTAAATTTGTCATTTCTCATTAAATTATTTATATTAAATTTTCTCTTATCTATTAATTATACTATTTGCCTTAATTTTATTATTAGTATCAATTTATCATAAAAATGAAAAGGAAATAGATTTATAACTAAAATTTCTAAAATAATTAACTTATTATTAAAATTTTATTATTAATAATAAAACTTATTATACCTTTTCTATAGTAGATAAATACCTTATTTTTCATTAAAAAAATAGTGATGAGAAATTAATAAATTACTTAAATAAAAATACCTTATTTTTCATGCAATATATTCAAAAAAAAAATTTAAGAAATAAAATTAAAATGTTTAAAAAGTTTTACTTTATATTTTTATTTAAAAAATTAATTTAAAATTTTAAAGATAAATTTACAAATTTAATGGGGAATATCTCATCAAATTAGTATGATTTTTTTCATAATTTATTTCAATAAGAAAATAGATTAAGTGTAATTAAATTAGAAATGGCATTATGGTCATTTAATGAAATATAGTCTAGGTATTGAAATATTTTGTAACAAAATGTGATAGTTTAGGAGATATTATGCACAAAATATAGTTTAAGAGAGTTATTTTCAAATTCAAGCATAGGGAGTTTTTTTGCACCTTACCCCTACATTTATAATCTTTGTTAGTAGTTTGGAAAAAAGAGAGAGGGAGAGCAAATAAATATATAAATAAATAAATAAATAAAGGATTGCTATGTGTAAGATAATAACTTCACATATAAAAGGAAAATTAAAAAAATACTGACTCACATATAAAATCGATATTTGGATGCTTCTGATCAGGTGCTTGACATGACACCAGATTAAGAATTGAGTTTTGACTCTGATATAAATTGTAATGTGCCAAATGGTTCCCGATTTAACCTAAAAATTTAAATTATTAAATATAACCAACACGCAACCCATTTATACCAATTTTTCCGTAATTAGAGCTCTCTTGTAACACTTTTCTCATCTCATTTATGTGGACGGTAATAAATAGTTATTATTATTATTATTATTATTTTGGCCTTTTTATCACACTTCTAGTACCGGTCCTGCTGTGGGTCTATAATATTTTGAATTAAAAATGATAAACTATTTCTAAACTCTTGCCAACTTGCATGAGTGTTTTTAGTACGTTGATTGCGAATCCTAAAAGTAGTAGACAACTTTTTCTAATAACAACAAAAAGAACTAAACAAAAATTGGTATTTAATCACAACTGTGTGTGTGTATATATATATATATATTTCTTTTTATTTTGTCAAAAAGATAAAAATATTCACACAAGCGAATTTACCCCCAATGAGACTAGAACCATTTGCCTTTATTTAGAACGTAGAAAAAAATATGAACAGGTTACACTCCTTGTAAGTTGTAACACACTGTGAAAAAAGTGAAATAATATATTAGTGTTCTATGAGTATTAAAGATAAAATCAAATATCAGGCATATTTTAGTCATTAAAATTTAAAAGAGACAACAAAAAAATTTAGTATAACACAAAAAAAGGTGCTAATATCATTTTACGTCAAAATAAATAGAGAAGTAGCAAAAAGAATTTAATAAATTTAAAGAAATTGGCATAACTTGAGCCTAGAATTTGGCTAAATTTCTGCTTATTTGTTGACAAAAAATCAATCGTGTAATTATTGCAAATCACAAACGTTATTTAAACTTCAAATCAAATGTCTAGAATTTAAGATTTGCAACCGAACACTCCTCATGGGTCATTTTAAAAAATAAAAAATAAATAAAAAGAGAGAAAAGAAAACAGAAAAAGAAAAGTACCTGCGACGAAGTACAAACTCCAAAGGTGTGAAAATGACAAAGGTCTATTGTGGAGGGGGTTATTTTGTAGATATTGCAAGATGCAGGCATTGTTTATTGAAAAAGGACTCATTTTCCCTGATTTCATACACGAACTTATTTTAGAGAGAGAAAGAGTATAAATACTGAGAACCTAGTCAAGATTCTGACCGTTCGTTTACCCATGCACGTCTGTGATTCAATCCCAATTTGCTTACGTGTATGCCACGTCATCCTCTCGTCTTTTCATCAACTACGCTGTCGACGCCTCCTTTTCCTCTTTCTCTCTCCTCTTTCTCTCTCTGTACTTCTCTTCCTCCTCTTACTTTTCCTTTTCCATGACAGGACTGAATTCTCAATTCTCTTCCATCTGCACTTCCTTTTCGCCCAAACTTCAATACCAAGCTTCCACACTCCTCTCATTTTCCGTGCCATTTCTCTCTCTTCTTCCATTTTCCTTTCCCTCTGTACAAGTTTGAAACCAAAGCCACCTTAAGATTCCAAGTACTGTACTGATATTCTCCAGTCGTTCAATTTCAAAACCCCAAAGTTCATGTATGTGTCCAAATGCTTCTTCACTTTCGATCCTCCCAACTCTTCATTCATATATAAATCATATATTTATATATATTTAAACAATCTTCTTTAACTTCATTCATTCCCATCACAAAGTTCAAGTAACCCTTTGATGATGATCATCAGATCTATAAAACCCTAATTTTCTTCTCTTTCAATCTGTAATTCTAATTCAATATTCGAAGATCTTCAAATTTTGAAAGAGCACACACACTGAAAGTGTTTGATTTTGTGACAGAGAGAGAATAGATATGCCGAGGCAAAACTTGAACGTGGAAGGAAGGATGGAAGGGGAGTGTAAGATCCGGAAGAGGGGGTGTTCTTCGTCTTCGTCGTCGTCGTTGGTGCAGAATTATCGACTGAAACGGGCGATTTTGGTTGGGAAGAGAGGAGGGTCGAGCACGCCTGTTCCCACATGGAAGATGAGTTCGAGAACAGTGAAAAATGGTGAATCAATGAAGTTTGCGCCGATTAAAGGCGGTGACGAAGTGTCTGTGTCTGTTTCCGCAAGAAAATTGGCGGCCACTTTGTGGGAGATCAATGAAGTTCCTTCGCCGGAGGCAAATGGGAACAAAATGAAGGTGAGAAACAGAAAAAAGAAGAGTGGAATCTTTAATTTAATTTATTTCTTTATTTAGATTTTCAGAAGTTCAAGCAAAAGCAAACACACACTTACAATATTGCCCGTAGCAGAGTTCAAACGATAGATTGTACCATCTGGTTATTACCCATTGGTGAAATCTTTAAAATTGTGTTCTGTAATATTTTATTTTATTTTTATCTCAATGGGTTGTGTGGAAAACTGATGAATTGAACTTTGTTTTGAATTTGCAGGGAGTTGATGGAACTAAAGGCGATGGTCACCGGAGAAGAAGATCAAGCATTCCTCAATTGGGAGGGTTGGATTACAATGGCAGCATAATGGAGGTAGACTAACACCATTCTCTCATGTATGTTCATTGAGTTGCAATTACAAAACACCATTAATCAACAGTCTAAGCGTCCAAATTAATAATGACATGACATCGCCAGCACATTTAATGGACATATATTGCCAATAATGGAAGGCTTTGTTTCAAAATTTATAACATTTCTAGACGTTTGTCGCTTTTATAATGTTCTTACAAAAGCTTTGAGAAAAAATAATTACATACAAGATCTGAATATGACTTAGGATTCCTAATAATAGAACTCATATGTCTAAACAATTATCACACATATTGGACCTATTGGTGCATGTATAAGTTGATGTGTATACTGACCAATGGGCATTAGCCTAAGAGCAATATGTCCCATTTACTTGAACTTGAAAAGAAAAATCAAAGAAAAGTGGATATATATACTTACGTACAATTAGGTCCATAGTTTCGTTTATATACATGCATTTCTAATGACTGGTAAACTGTCTTCTCAATCTCAATCAAACAGCGAAAAGTGAGAAGATATATATATGTGTGTGTCTGAAATGTTATATGAAATATGTTGTGTCAAAATAATCGGAGTGTAATTGGCAAAATTACTATGAGATTGCATGGAAAATTTTCCTCCAATATATATGAGATACCTCCAATGACATGACGTAACTGTCCATTTGCGTCCTAAATTTATTCAATTATGAACTATTAAAGATATAATTGCAAAAAACTCTGTTTCATCTTTCCTCCGTTACTCTAATCTTCACTGGCAAGAGAATCTCTGTAACCACTCTTTATTCTTCATGAATGTGCCATCTAGGAAATGGACAAATACCCCAATAAGTCCAACCAACAGAGCACGTGGGTTGGTTCTTTTGGCTACCCCACCAAAATGAACAATTCATATGGTTGATTTCAACAACAATTTTATAGTGTTGGAATATTTGTTTGTCGTGATCATATATTATAATAGGATTTCAAGAACAATGCATGTTCAAATTATCTAACGCCTAGTGCAATCTTTAATTTAATCCAGTGTGAAGTACACGAAGGAATAATTTTTTTGATCTAAGCTTTAGGCTATGCAGGTTGAAACTCAACCACATGGGCGGACTCCAAGCAGATGTATAGTTGGAGTTAAGTCCCGTTTGAAGGATGTAAGTAATGGCCTGACCACATCTAAAGAGATTCTGAAAGTTTTGAATCGCATCTGGGGTCTAGAAGAGCAACATTCTTCAAGCTTATCTCTTGTCTCAGCTCTACGAGTTGAGCTCAATCGAGCACGTGTTCAGGTTGATCAATTGATCCGAGAGCAGAAATCTAGCCGCAATGAGATTGATTACCTTCTGAAGCAGTTTGCAGAAGAAAAGGCAGTTTGGAAAACCAAGGAGCAAGATAGGATTCACAATGCCATTGCATCTGTAGCAGAAGAGCTCAAGGTAGAGAAGAAGCTGAGAAGACAAACAGAGAGATTGAACAAGAAGCTCGGAAAAGAATTGGCTGATACAAAGGCTTCACTGTCCAAAGCAGTCAAAGAGCTCGAGAGCGAAAAGAGGGCAAGAGAGATACTAGAGCAAGTCTGTGATGAGTTAGCCAGAGGTATCGGAGAAGACAGAGCTGAAGTAGAAGACTTGAAGAGAGAATCTGCTAAAGTTCGGGAAGAGGTGGAGAAGGAGAGGCAAATGCTGCAGCTAGCTGATTTGTTGCGTGAGGAAAGAGTCCAGATGAAGCTGTTGGAAGCTAAATATCAGTTTGAGGAGAAAAATGCAGCTGTGGACAAGCTCAGAAATGAGCTTGAGGGCTGGCTGAGAACCAAAATAGGTGAAGAAAGGGATGATGGTTCTCCAAACTTTTTGAAAGGTGAAGAGCTCGAGTATCTAAGGAGAACACTTCAGGAATCTTGTCAAAATGGGGAGAAAGAGAAGGACGAAGGGGAGGTAGTGAACGGAAAGGAGCATGAAGGGAGTGATTCAGCCGACAGTGATCTTCATTCCATTGAGTTAAATATGGACGATAACTGCAAGAGCTACAATTGGAGTTACGCCTATGATGCTGCTGCTCAAAATGATTCAAATAGGACATCAGTTGATGAAAAAATCAAGGGGAGGAGGTCTATCTCTGAGAAGATCATGAATAGCATATCCTTGGAAAGAACAACTTCAGATGGCATTGAGTGGGAATTTGGTGCTGTGAGTAAAGAAAATTCAGATGGGTTTGACAGGGGAAGATTATTCGAGCTGGCTTCACAAGCTTGGAGAAAAGATTGTGATGATGAAATTGAGAGGTATAAAATGGTTAAGGATCTTAGAGATCATATATTGTCTGGTTCAAGAATAGCATCTTCGCAGTGCTTTGCTAGTCCAACGCGCAACTAGGGCCAATCCTTGCCTTCTCAAAATCCTGGCAGCATGACCTGTGGTGAGTTCAACAGAATTGCAGGAGAGCCATTTGAAGACAACAATGCTAGATGGAATCAGAGGCAAAGCCAGAATTCAACACATTAGGACATTAAAATATTTTCCTTGTTTGCTTTTTGTTCATGACTCGCTCTTCGCTTGCATATCCTATCCTAAAAGAGGGCCATATCTGCTTGATGACTGCTGTGTTCATACCAGTAGTCGCTTACGGAATACAAAACTGTGAATATAATTTTGTATATTGTTTTCATATATACGCAAATTAACTTGTCTTTACAAAATTAAACTTCTGCTTTTACTAGGCAATAAATATGGTACAAGTACTTTAAATAGTTCTGCAGTGAGACCTGAGAATTGCTTCTCTCTTATTCTCTTGTATTTTGAGCAATTCTTTAATCAAAAGATCAACTAATTTGTTAGTCATTGAACCTGATGTGAAACACATTATATATACTTTTTTCCCAAGCGTGAAACATATTATATAAAAATTGACTCTGGCATTTACTCAAGAGTCAAGATTGACACCCAGAAAAGTTTTTATAATTCCATTAAAGTTGAAATGGCTCGTCATAAGATAATTTAGATTCGTATACGCCCAAGCTACTGACAGCTATGGAACTTGTGATGATTCACCTAATCCAATTAGGTGGCCAGCAAATGTTTGCTAAGGCTGCAAACTTGATTGTAGTTTCTTTCTCCTCTTAGGACTAATTGGTTGCGTATTTGTTTATCAAGCTAAGAGTTCAATGTTAACGGAATTCAATTTTTTGGGCCAAGTTCTCAATTGTAAGAATCAGTAAAAAAAATTCCTCCGAAAGTTCATACAAACGCGCAGGCCCCCACTATATTTTGCCCCAACCGGGGCCGAACACTCAACCTCCCCACCCCATTGAGAAGGAGAAATTACCCATTGGTCATAATCTAATAGATTATATCACTATGAGTTGATTGCACCAGGAATTTGTGACTCTCAGTTAACCATTTCAAAAAATAGGAGCATCAGTTCAAAACGTTTAAGCCACCAACATTAGTACCAGTGCACTGTTAATCTAGGAGTATACAGTCTAAGATTAGCTCTAATCTGAACCTTAACTTATGAGACCGACCTTAAATTCAAACTAGGGTATGAACATTTTACTGTTTCAAATCGAAGCACAGATCGGATGAAATGGATTAGATGACATGCAGATGGACAAGGTGAAAAAATCAACCCAAATAGGAAACCGAGTATCTTGATCACTAACATTTAACAGAACAAGCCAACTTAAATGGCATCAAGTTACCAACACAGATATACACAAGAAGGTTCTTGTACATCAATTTTGAACAACAAAATTATAAGAACACATGAACGTGATGACCAGATAATTTTTTTAGATTAACAAGAGCTACATGTCAATCCAACTATGCAGCAATAAACACTACAACCCAGGGAGTCATAACAACGGATAACCCTTGACTCGGGATGTAATCACAGTCGAGTTGAAGACATGAAAAACTATAACCACTACCAATTCACCTGGCTTAATCTGGAGTCTAGACGGGGTCACAACCATGTCATCTAACCAATTATTCGTGAAGAGGCCATTATCTATTGTGCAAGTAACTCTTCTCTTTTTTTTTGGTTGGTAGCACTCCAGTGCTACTCATGACAGACTTCATTTTTCCCAGCTGCAGATGTGAAAGTAACTGGGTTTGTTGGATGGTCCCTCACAATTAGACTAAACACTTCAGGCCTTGAATAATGCCCAACCACGTCAAAATCAAATTTCACTCGCGCTATTTCTCCAAGATCTGCACATCATTCAATCATCATAAAAATCAGGAGGCAAATTATTAGATAATCAAAATCTATTAAGAGGCAATGAGCTCAGCACAGGCCAAGGTCGAAAAAAGTTATTGGCATGCGATCTTAGTTGTAATTAAACATCATCCTATTCTTCATTTTAGAAACTTGATTCATCATGAAATCCTAGTGTACAGAGCTTTGACTTGAATGTTTAGAAATATATAACTAGTGAGGACAGAGGTATACCCAGATCAGCCGAAATGAGTGCTTCCCCTTCATAATTTGGGCCTGCCAGAACAGCTCCTGATGGTGAAATAATGACGCTGCCTCCAGCACAGACAACAGAATCTGGTGTGAGATCTTCCTCTACACCTGAAAACACATACTCCGGAGGAGGTGGGTAATCTTTTCTCCGACAGAACTGGTTGGCTGATAAAACGAAACATCCACCCTCAAGAGCAATGTGGGTCATTGATGCTTGCCATACATCCCTGGAATCAGCTGTAGGTGCACAATATATTTCAATGCCTGCATAAGAAAAGAAAAAAAATTGTCACTAAATCATGTTTTAGAGATCATTTTGTAGCGAAAACTAATAAACTACAGGAACAGAATAATAAAGAATTCAGCGAGTAAAATAACTACATAGATACACGTCTACGCATAAACACACACACTCAAATAATCACATCTACACAAAAACCAATGAAGAAGACTCAGCTCATTTATCAAACAAACAGTTTGCCATTCATATTGTTACAACAAACGCTGCAAACCCACGAAACAACCAAGAAACACGACAGAAAAATAAACACGCCACACTAAGAACACAAAGATTTAGCATGGTTCGGCAAAACCTATGTCCACAGTGAAGACCCGGTGATAGAATTCACTATGTGAAAATCTGGAGATTACAACTTTCAGCCCCCAAACCCTAGCTCTCACTCTCACTCTCTTTTCTGCAATTTTCAATCTCTCAATGTCCCACTCCAAACCCTAAACGCCACAAGAGAGTAGTAAATAGGGTCCACGACCAGCAAGCAAAAGGGCTTAGGCCCACACAAAGCTCAATCAATGGGTGGTCGGGTCAAAATGGATCACAACGCGACCCGGAACCAAATTCGGGCCACAACATCACACATATTGTAGTCAAACAAAAATATTTCAGATGGCTTCAATCATTTTGACTCATTTTCATATATGATACAAGGGTTTAGAGCTCATAGTTCAGTAACCTATATCAAAACAAAAACTGAAAATTGGAAAGACAGGGCCATCAGAAGACCCCCAGACATGCCTTGGAACTGGCTCAAGTGCAGCTATAAACTGTGTGGCCGTATGATTGTGACCTAAGTTTAAACTCCTGGACCTATTAGTGATATGATCCCAATGAGTCCTTCCTATGAAATTTAGTTATTAAGATTCCATGATAGTAATAATCCAAACGGATTCAAGAATTGAAAAGAAAAAGGGCAACATATTTAAAATAGTAGCGATCCCCGCAATGTTGAGTATGGGAAGTGAGAAGAACAGACAACACCAAATAAGTGAAGTTCAGAGCAATATAACAAACCTTTCGCATACATTGCAGTCCTTAACAGTGGCATTCTATTCTCCCAGCATATGGCAGCACCTATTTTTCCAACTGGAGTCTCAAAAACTGGAATTGTTGATCCATCTCCAAAACCCCAGATTATACGTTCCAATGCCGTAGGCATGACTTTCCGATGCTTTCCCAGAAAACGACCTTGAGAATCAAAAAATAAAACTGTGCAATAGAGTGTATATCCATCTCTCTCTATCACACCCATAACTAGATACAACTTGTATTTTCCAGCCATTGCAGCCAATCGCTCAACTTCAGGACCTGCCTTTATCATAGATCAAATATCAGAAGAATTAAAGGTAAACAGCTCAATTATATTTATACAGATTCAATACAAGCAAAAAATATACGCAGAAGGCACTCAGCTGTAAAAAAACAACATCCTTGCACGCATAAAATTTAAAGAACTTCAACTTCTAAAACCTGAAAATTCCATTCAGGACTCAATTTCATCTCATGCCACCCACAAGCCTGACCTGAAAAACTTCTAGCAGATTTTTTATTGCTAAATTAGTTAGTAATTCTTAAGTGGTCCATATCCCAACAGAACCTCCTCAAAGAAGAAAAACCTACAAATACACCTTCTAAATAACCTACTGCCTTCCTTCACCCACCCAAATAAAATGATGATCTTAGCTCTTTTTGTTATCTGGACCATACTGAGAGATAGAGTAATTTTCCTTCACTTCAAATAAATTTAGGATTTGCTTTGAACATATTGTTGGGAATTCTGCCTGATATATACTGACTCAGCGTAACACAATAAACAAAACAATAAACAGAGTGTCAAAATAGGCCTCATTCATTCCAAATTTAAGACAAAAATAAGCAAGGATTTGCCAAACATGATCAAGAGAAGGGCTTACCAGGCACATCAATGGCTGCAGCATGATACTTCCGGAACTCCTCTCTACCCTTTGCGGTACGGTTACCGATTATAACACCAAAATTTGAACCGCGCGGATAACCACCCACAAATGCCTCTGGAAACACTACCAACTGGGAACCATATGAGGCAGCTTCAGCCAGCAATCTCTCAGCCTTATCTGAAAATAAAATCTGAAGTAAAACCAGAACTCTGGCAATATCTCAGTTATGCTAAACTAAATTTCCTCCAAATCCAATTCCAAGGCACCGATTTGGGAGCAAAATTAGTTTCTTTCCTCCCAATTAACAAAAAAGCATACGATTCAGCAAATGAAATCAACTTTAGCCAAGAAGTTCTACTAAAGTGAGTGTCACTTTGCGTTTCTCCAATTCCAAGTAATGAAAATGAAAATCTAAGGCTGCAAAAAGTAATTTCCCTTGCATTTTTGTTATATATATATATATATATATATATAGATGTAAGAAAATCAGCGCCTGTTTGGTTTCAATTTCAGAAAATGATTTTTGTTCTGAAAATGGAATGAAAAGCACATTGGGAACTAGCTTCACGTAGTGTTTTAACATACTATTTGTGATACAAACTTTCCTGAAACACCAAAGTTCATTCATTTCCAAGTTTCCATTGTTTTCAAGTCCAATAATTCACAAAGAGATAAGATGAAAACAAAAACGATATCGAACTGCAACATACTTTTTGTAGGACCTTTTTTTAGTTTAAAAATCTTTCTTAGCAACCAAACGGAGCACAATACGGACCAAATCAGAAATCAACAAAAAGTCACAAATGCAAATTAAAGCCCTAGAAGAAATGTTGACAGAAGAAACAGATGAAGAGGTAAGAGGAACTGAACCGACCTAGAGTGGCGGGGGTGTCGTAGAAGACAGTGGAGGCTTGGACGACGGTGGCTCGGACGGTTGGTGCGGAGGAGGAGTCTGCGGCCATCTCGACCTCGGCAAACACAGGTCCGTCGTTGATGGCTGCTGGAACTAGAGCCATGTGATTTGTTTTTCACGTCTGCGTCTTATATCGTTGGTGGGAGTGACGAGTGGTGGCCGTTGGGGGGTCTTTGCATACCTTGAACCTATACATGTATGCTTTGGATTTTAGTTGCCAAAAGGTTTCTAGAATCTACCAGATTGCTCACTTTGCATACCATGAACCTATAAGTTTGATTTATTTCCAATTCTTAAAATTACTTATTTTATAATAGAAGAAAAAAAAAAGTGAAAATGACTTGGATAATTCATTAATTCTACTGAAATATACTTCACCAAAAATAAAAATAAAAATAAAAATAAAAATAAAATTTGAACTTGTTTTATTGTATCTACTTTTGTTACAAATGGTGGATTTCGAAACAATTGTTAATATTTTAGTAATTGCTTAATTTGGTGGCAAATAAAACCCTATGCATGATTACAAAATTAAAGATAAGAGTATAGCTGGCATTTTAATAAGAAATGACATTATTGAGACAAATATTCTATTATAATAGAATTCAAAATTTTGTTTAAAATATTTATTAAAAGTGAGATTTTATAGTTTTTTTAAATTTCTTTAAAAGCTATTGATTCAAAGTAATATGATATAAAAGTAAGTAAGATGTTTATCAAGTAATGCTCTCAAGAAAGCATTCTCTTTAAAATAGTCATAAGGCTTGCATATTTAACACAATTGTTATATTTTTATATATATATTTTTTGTAATGTTATCACAAGAGTCCTTTCTTAACCAGAGGGCATACATTTTCTTTATTTAACCATTGAATCGAGATGTTTAATGAGATTTGAGAAAAATCAAATGAGCCATTTAATGAGAGTAGTACTCCTATTTCATTCCATTTTGAATCAGTATATACTCATTGGATCTTAGTACTTGCCAATTTTTTTATTTTTTATTTAATTGCAACAAGCTCTCAGTTTTAAACTGCAATATAAATTTCGTTACACAATTTGAAGGAGACACAATTTGAAGGAGTGTTTGGTGCACTGATCATCGATATTTCACAATCCTAATGACTTTATTACAGAAACCCTCCACAATATCTACCAAGTTTAGCCTTGTTAATCTCTTGCAAAATGCAAGTTCGTTTGGTCTTCTGTTGCCACTCTTTCATACACAGACTTTTCTTGAAATAACTTAGCAGGCGGCTAAGTAATCTTCAAGCATTGTCAGTTTTGGCTGCTCCAGATGTAAAGGTAACAGGACTTGTTTGATGGTCCTTCACAATCAGACTCAGCACTTCCGGCCTCGAATAATGTCCAACCACATCAAAATCAAACTTTGCTCGTGCAATTTCACCCATATCTGAAAATTATTTGATCATCAGAAGCAGAGATCATAATCTTACCAAAAAAAAAATTAAATTGAACAGCCAAAGGTGTCATTGAATTCTATTATGCCTAAAATAGCTAAATTGTATGACAAAGTTGTTACAATACCAAGATCAGCTGTGAGGAAGCCTTCTCCTTCGAAATTAGGCCCTGCAAGAACTGTCCCCAACGGGGATACAATGACACTACCACCGGCAGAGACAACAGAGTCCGGTGTCAGATTTTCATCTGCATCGCTGATAACATACTCCGGTGGAGGCGGGTAGTCTTTCCTTTGGCAGAACTGGCAGGCTGACAGAACAAAACATCCACCCTCAAGAGCAATGTGGATCACTGATGCTTGCCATGTTTTCCCTTGATCAGCAGTAGGGGCACAATATATTTCAATACCTGTTTGTTCAAGAGCTCGACAAGTCAGAATCAAAAATTACAATCATCAAATTTCAACCATAGAGAATGCATTGTCCATGAACAAAATTTAGGTGAGGTGTAATAGGTGAATTTACCTTTGGAGTACATTGCTGTCCTTAAAAGAGGCATTCTATTTTCCCAACAGATAACAGAACCAATTTTCCCAATTGGAGTATCATATACGGGGGTTGTTGATCCATCTCCAAATCCCCACACTAGACGTTCCAGAGCCGTTGGCATGAGTTTTCGATGTTTTCCAAGGTAATTGCCTTGAGAATTAAAGAACACAACTGTGCAATAAAGAGTGTATCCATCTCTCTCGATTACTCCCATCACCAAGTAGATTTTGTGTTTTCCTGCTAGTGCAGCAAGTCGCTCAACTTCAGGTCCTGCAAGTACAAAAATTCACCAAAAATAAAAAAAGGATTTATATTCATGAAATGTTCCATTTGTGAATATAAATTCTGGAGATAAAAGTATAGGGTAAATTATACACTAATTTATGAAATACTGCATATCAGAATAAGATCTTTTCACAAATATATGATATACATACACTGAATTTGTTAGCATCAGGCCTCAGAAATAAGCATTGAAAGTTTGGTACAAGGGATGGTAATGTTTGTGAAAACAAGAAATTACCAGTGTCTTTGTTATCTAAATGCATGATAAAAGATGTATTAGACTGTTGCTGTCTTGTAGGCTAAACGCTGCAATTCCCATGTCCGAGGTACTTTGTGACATCTCACATCATCTCGGGAGGCATTGTTGGCACTTTGGAATACCTCCTCACTGTGAGAAAATGAAAACCGTGCACAAGTCCACAAGAGTGCGTGACTACACTAGGTACCAACTCCAAGACGGATGCCAATATAAACTGGACCTACATATTTCTAAGCCCTAGGAATTTCTCAAATAATTTAAATATTTTTCATTAAACTGTGCATGTATACTCCATTATATGCTACTCCACTTGAAGTGCAAGTGCAGTTATCTGCCATATATATATATATATATATATATTAGAATCCTCTGCTCTCTGGTTGTAGGTAGTTGCAATAATTGAATTCAACTAATAGAAACTACCCAATTCAAAATCAATCAAGACAAGCTATTTATCAATGCCAAGTGAGGTTTGCTAAAACAAGAATTGACTACCAAAATCAATCAAGAAAGCTCTATACCAATGATAAATCGTGTTTGTTGAAACAAGAATTAGTTGACTACCGTCCTCATTCAGGAAAAAAAAAAAAGCAATTCTATTTAATTTTAAAGTATACAATATGTAATGGTTCTAATCACATGACACACAGTATATGTATGATGCCACTGACCAGGCACATCAATGGCAGATGCATGATACTTGCGGAAATCATCCTTGGCTTTAGTAGTCCGGTGAGCAAAATTTAAACCGCGAGGATATCCACCAACGAATGCTTCAGGAAACACCACCAGTTGTGAACCCAATCCTGCTGCTTCTCCAATCAGCCTCTCTGCCTTGTCTGCACCTCAATTTAACAAACAAATTGCAATTATTACTCACAAACAAAAGCAATCATACACACACACACACACATGTATTGATGATTGAGTTTGCGTGTGTGACTGTGTTAGAGAGAGACCCATGGTGGCCGGAGTGTCGTAGAAGACGCTGGACGCTTGAACAACAGTGGCGCGAACAGTGGGTGGTGGAGAGGAGTCAACACCCATGTCTACTTCAGTGATCATACCCTGTTTGTTGGGTTCATTACCGATCAAAGAAGACATGATCGATATGAGTCTTGATTTGTGTCCGTGGACTTTCTTCAAACAAAGAGAGTAGGTAATGGTATGATCGGTATGACTAGCATTTCTTGTTAATTATATTATATAAACAACTTGTGTATGTTCTACTTATGTATTCCATCAACTGATTAGCATTTACGGATATTCTAAAGCTGTTGAATTTGAACCATTCTCTATACCGTGATAAACTCTCGAGTGTCGTAAGGCAAGGGAGATGCATCTAGACTTTAGTGGAGTCCAAACGGGTCCCACTTAAATGATAGAAACATGTTTGGCACTTTGGCTCTTTTTTTGGGTTCTCTGTGGTTTGGATACTGTAATAAAGAACCATTTTTTCATATTGCGTATTCAAGTAGGTCTTCTTCCATGTAACAGTTAAGGGCGGTGTTTCGTTGATGTTTTTGTCTATCTGTTTTTGTTGTGGGCCATAATCGGATACTGTAACATAGGTTTGTTTTTCCGGAAGGTGTTTGATAAATAATGTCTTGTTTTATCCGGCGTCAAATTGTTTTGTCAATTGTTGCTTAAACTAAGAATACAATGATACAAGGGCAAATTTTTCAAAATTCCAAAATTATCAAAAAATAATCATAAAATTCTAACTAGTTTTAAAAACCCCTAATAATATAATAACGTTATCATTTTATTCCAATTCTAGTAATTGACCGTTAAGGGTATGTGAAATGACTAAATTACGTTTATTATATTCCCTTTTATTTAAAAAACCAAAAAATCATATTTTTAAAATTACAATATTATCCTTTACTGATTGCATCTACGTTTGGCTCCCATCACATAACCCACCACCGTCACTGTGCCTAACAACCACTGCCCAGGCGGCAAAAACCTCACAACCACTGTGTATGGCAGCTCCATTGTTAATTCAAAAAGGAACTGGACTTGTAGGACTGTTCCACGGCGAAGGCAATTAGTATGGTGTCGGTAGCAATGATGATTTCCGTTACCGATGAGAGCAGTGGTGGCGCAGCCGCAGAAGAGGGCTTCCACGAAAGACCTTCAAACGGAGGTGGAGGACAGTAGGCCACAAGTCCAACGGAGAAACCATCCAGTGGCTGCTGGAGCATGCATATCCCGCCCTTTTTGCCGCCTAAGGCACCGTCCCCGCCACCATCGCCATGTCCGTCGATGGAACTCTCCAAATCCCCAACGCTTCCTCCGCCGCTGCTCACGACAGCGACCCGTCAAAGAAGAAAGGCCAACCATGGTGACCCTAAAGAAGTAAAATAATGTCTCCACGGTGACCATAAAGTGACCCCACAATTCGATGGCCTTATGTTTACATGGCAAACATTGGGGCCTTGTGTGATACCCCTCAGATCCGAGACACGGGTTGATCAGGCTCAGGCTCGAACCCGAGGGAATATCAAACAATTAAAGTATTTATAATGAACACAGAATACAAAATGAATTAAGAAATGAAATTAAAGCTGAAAGGAACTAAAAACAGAATCCGCAAAATATTATAATTATTAAAATCCATCAAACTCAAACTCCAAAACTCCATCAGTTTACAACTCGGGAATCCATGCATTGGACCCCTTATTTAAATTCTCCAAACGATACTGAAATAATAAAAACAAAATCCAAAGCTAACATAGAGAAAATTCCTACACAATCGGAGGAGTGAATAGCTGTATCTGCTCTGCACGTCCAAACTCTAACCCTGGAACTGACGAGCACCTGAAAAATAAAGAAGTGGGTCAGGCCCACATGCAAGTCCTGATCTACTACAATCCATACAGTAATCCGATACGCAGATACATCCTAGGAAGACTCAACAATATCTAGAGTAGTCAATATATGTATATAGTACACACTATAGGACGCTCGCTAGTCCAGTAGGTCTGTCTCAGCCTGAATAGAAGGCAACATGCGAATACGCACCCGAAGGTGGGCATGAGTACCTAGACCTACCAGGGAATAACACCTATGTCCAGTTATCCATCATAGGCAATATACGCGCCCTAACCATGGTCATGAGACTCAACCTCATACCACGGCACCATATAATATATATATATAAAGTCCGTACTCCTCCTAATACAAAATACCATCCATCTATGTAGTGGTCTGATATATGTATAACAAATTCATCCTGAAACCATAGTAGGTCATTCAATTCTCAATTGATATGACACAAGTAGGTGATGGACTTAACCTATATGATTAATCCATACCTTAATCCAAGTTAGGTAGAACTCAGTGTTTGAACAAGTCCATACCTAGTATGTCACCGTCCCATACCGGCACATACAATCCTCCAGTTAACGAAGTTGACCAAAAACAGGAATAAGTATTTATTAACCATACTCCAGAATTAGCATAAATTTAGTTTAACATGTATATAACCAACTTATGCATTCAATATAAGATTTAGAATCCCGATTACAGTCCGTTAAATTGATAAAGTAGAGTTACACAGTCTACCTCTCCAAACAGTACCATGACTGATGCAATGTAAAACAGATTTTAACACCAGTTGATCCCAACTAAGCATACATATAACAATACCACAGTATGCTTATAACACAGCTGCAAAACATGATTTATAAATCCAAGTCATGCAAAGAAATAAAGTTCCAAAAATAGAAGACAACAGAAATTAATTTTCAAATCATCCACCTACGGGTTCACTGTTTAATCTTAGATTAATCCCGTCCTCAATTCCTACTTGTAATCATGCTTCCCAACATTTTTACAAGTCTTAAACATTAAATTACAACATCCAGTAGCCTTTAAATAATTTTAGAAAAACCAATTTCAGCCAAAAGTCCCTAAAACTTCAATTCTGTGCGTTTTAAGATTGAGCAGGCTCTAAAATTTGGAGCCTGCTCTATTTTTCTTTTGGAGCTGGCTCTAAACCACTTAGAGCCGGCTCAAAGACACTTGGAGCCGCCTCCAAATAAGTTTGGAGCCGGCTCTAAGATATTTGAGAGCCTGCTCACTTTTCCCCTAGCCGCCGTTGCCCGTTCCAGCTTCGTCTTCTCCAATTCCGGTGATTACCAGAGCCTCTGTAACATGTTTTAATTCTCATTCTAGGTTCAATCTCAGTCCTAGGTACATATTAAACCACTGATATTCAATGATAGCATGCATAAAACATAGGTTTAGAAGCAACGATTACAAAACCTTAGTCTGAAACTTTAAGCAACCCACAACAGATTTATTTGGTGATCTTCATTACTATTTTTAGAACTTATTCTAGGGTTCATTTAAATATCTCAAACTAATACTAAAACATAGATATCCAATCACAACAGGAATTTAACACAAGTGCTAAAATAATCGGCAACAAGATTTCTGTTAAAACTTTTAAGCAACATCAAACAGATTAACTCAATAGAAACAAAATACCGATTCAACATGCATACAAGATGAATTATAACATTCGTTGAATCTGTTTTAAAGTTTGATTAATTCCTGGAGTCTAACTAGGCATGCACAGAACACGAATTAACGGGAGAGAGAAGAACAGAGACTTGCCTGCAGTTTCAGATTTGAAACTATAATTCACCGTCTCTATAAATTCTGGCAATGTCAACTTGTTGTTATCAACCTCTGCCACTCCTAGTTAGGACCAGAACTCCTCCTTGAATCCCTCCCTTAATCTCCTAAAGTTTCTCTCAGTAAACCATACAAGCTCCCTCTCTGTTTCTCTGCCCTCACAACTCTCTGTATCACTGTATACCTGAATATGGTGAATAGGGTTTTCAGAAACCCTCGGCAGACGTATACCCATATATTTATAGAGTTATACCAAAACCCTAAATTAATTGAAGCCCTAACTAAATCCTAACCGGCCCATAGAAGTTAATTAAAACCGGTATCGGCTGATACGTGAATATACAGAAAACACAATCCTACTTTAAACCAATTTAATTAAATAAACCCCATTATCAATTAAGTCAAATAAAACATCATAAAACAATTTAATTTAAAACAATGTAATAAAAGAAAACCAAATAATTTAATCAATTAACTTCTAACCATGGAAGAAACACACAATTAAAATAATTTAAATAAAAGATTAAACACTTAAATAAATGCCAGGACTATCCTTTTATAATTAGGAGTATTACATTCTTCCCCCCTAACAAAAGGAATTTCGTCCTCGGAATTCGCTCTTACCTTCTTCCAATATTTCAGGAAACTGCGAGCGAATGACATCCTCTCGTTCCCAAGTGGACTCAGCCTCATTGTGATGACTCCACTGCACACGAACCAAAGGGATAACCTTATTGCGAAGGATTTGATCCCGACGGTCAACAATACGACATGGTGGCTCCAAATAAGTTGCATCCGGCTGCAACTCAATCTCCCCAACATCGATATGTTGATACCGATCCTCATCGCGCAGAAAATTTCACAACATGGAAACATGAAACACGTTGTGAACGCGATCCAAGTTATCCGGAAGTGCCAACCGATAAGCTACAGCTCCCACTCGATCCGTAATCATGAATGGACCGACAAACCGCGGAGACAACTTCCCTTTCTTCCCAAAGCGCATAACACCCTTCATATGAGACACTTTGAGTAGAACCTGATCCCCAACCCGAAACTCCAAAGCACGAGTGCGATGATCAGCATAGCTCTTCTGCCTACTTTGGGCAGTACGCATGCGATCTCGAATAAGAGCAATTTTTTCAGAGGTATCCTTGATGAACTCAGGACCTAAGAATCGATTCTCCCCAACCTCCATCCAACAAACAGGTGATCGACACGGTCAACCGTATAACGCCTCAAAAGGTGCCATCCCAATAATCTTCTAGAAACTATTGTTATAAGCAAACTCCACAAGTGGCAAATATTCCTCCTAGTGGCCCTTGAAATCCAGAACACATAATCGAAGTATATCTTCCATAATCTGATTCACCCTTTCAGTCTGTCCGTCAGTCTGAGGATGATAAGCAGTACTAAGGTGTAACTCCGTACCTAAAGCCTGCTGAAAACTCTTCCAAAATCCAGATACAAAGCTCGAATCCCTGTCCGATATAATAGACAATGGAATGCCATGTAGCTTCACAATCTCTGAAATGTAAAGCCTCGCCAACTGTTCCGAAGTGTAGTCAGTGCAAATAGGCAAGAAATGAGCTGACTTGGTCAACCTATCCACAATGACCCATATGGAATTATGCCCCTTGAAAGAATTTGGTAACCCTTCCA